GTAGGGATGATGCAAATACCATCCCTATTATCTTGTTTGAATTGTTTTTGAAGGATTGATATTAGCCATCCCTACATTTACTTCCTTTTGGAAAAGTTTTTTCTTTACTTGTTTAATAACAATGACCTCTGGTTCCTTCAGGGATATTGTTAAAATACCTGGTCATAAACTAAAGAAACTATTATCTGATAACTGAGCAGGGCAGGATAAAACCTAAAGACTATCTTTAACAACTGCTGCATTACAGATGTGTGAACTATTATCTTGATTTACATCATCACTATTGTATGACAGGATAATCATGGACTCCTGTTATGTTTGTATTAACACTAGTTATTATCCTGAGTTTTAACAATTCCACACAAACAAAATATAAACCGCACCATAACAGAACCACCTGGCTTTCCAGTTGGAGGTGTACATTTCCTTGGACTGTCTTTATGCATATGCACATCAACATAATGGAGAAAGGATGAGTATCGACTCATATGTTGCTATGGTGACAGTACCAATCCAGCAGAAGTATATGTTTTTTTTTGGGGTTTATACAAACTTTCAGTTGCATAAAATCCCATGACTTTTCCGGGTCCATACAACAGGAATTTTCAAAGGCAGCATAGGGCGAATAAACACACACACAGAAAAATAATAATATTTGAAACTACACTCTCTAGGCATTTTTATGGTCACTTAAATTACAATTTAAAATACCACTGACAAGAGTTATTCCTCTTTTTGAAACATAACGCCCTTAGCATTTTTCCAACAGGTGTAATAATATGCATGTGTAAAAAGGTTGCTTGTGCTGGAATACAAACTCACCAACAGGTGTAATAATACGCATGTGTAAAAAAGGTAGTTTGTATTCCAGCACAAGCACACCAAGAGGAAAGAAACAGTTTTTAAATCTTACCTCCTTAAAACCCATAATTTTTTGCACATTCTGCCAGAATTATTTTCATGATTTCCTAATAATTATCACCATACCTTATAAAATTTCAATTTTCTTAATTTTGTTTTTTCCCTTCAGCATCAGAGGTGCCCACATGAAACACTGTTGAGCAAATAGCTTCAAACCTCTCCCTGATGAATGTTTGGCATCACCATCCAATGGGTAATTGGGATTTTCTGACGGGTGCTGGTAGCATCCGCTTGGGTTTAAGGAGTTAAGAAAGATAACTGTGTATATTATTTTGATCTAGCCCTACATGTGAATAGTTTTATTATTACGGACAAATAAATCAAATTCCCATGTTAGATATTAAATGCAGCTTGTTTTTGTGATACATGTGAGATTTTGGCATGTTTAAGTTTAAAAAGAATCTAGTCATGAAAGTTTAAGCTCTGCTCAAGTGTATTTTAAACTTTTCTAACAGAGAAAGCTTTTTTTCTGGAATTTTACGGGCTGGTACAAGAAAATGTTTCCTTCTTGATATAATTAATACATCTAAGATATTCACTTTGTTTGTGTGACAAACTAAACTGATAATTATGTACTTGTTACATCTTAAAGGAAAAATCAATTATTTAAGAAAGGAACACCTGCTTTTCCATAAATATATGAAAATTGTAAATATTCAGAGAAATACCAATTTTATTTACAAATGCCTTTCAATTTATAATTAAACTAAATAGTCATGATTTTCCTTAAGATTGATCGAGTTCTTTACAGCTGAGATTAAGACGTATCACTTCTCAATCGTGCAAGAAAAGCGTTATCGTAATATTAATGTATTGGATTCTCTCATTTTTCAAATAACTCATGAATTCCTCTCTGTTGTCATTTTTTATGAATCTCTCAATGATTATTACAACACAAAATTTAGTTTAATTTAAAAGTAACTAATTATAATGAACTTGCAACTATGCTACAACTGGTACTACTAAACATACCGCTTGCTTATTTATCTTCTTCCATAGACCTTGTTGCTATCAAGAACACGGCACTGGATCCATGATTAGGCATAGTGCATTTTGTGTTTGACGCCTTTCACATGGTTCATAAGTGCTGCTTCCTCGATGCTGCTTATGTCAAAGTTCTTTAAACACATCTTACAATGCATTGTATGTTTGCTTACTCCTCTCTCTAGCCATAAGCATAGTCGTGCATCAAAGAGCCGAACCACATTGAATATACACAAGCCCATCATTATCTATTCACTGTTAAAGAACACTGATGTTCAAACCTGAAACCCAAGGTTTTTTTCAGAGATGCGAGATTTATGAAATATTCATTATTTTTGAATGATTAATTACTGTGAATTGTGAGAATATATTCAAAGTCCCATTTGAATTGATTCATGGGATCAACAAGCTACATGATGGAAGAAATAACTAGTCTAATAATATAAACTCATGAAATGGTTCAAAAACTCTTGAATCTAGTACGATAATCATTCGAAAATTTCCAACTCAAATTTACACACAACATCCACACCATAATAATAATACTTATCATTATCTTCATTATTATTATATACATCTTGAGATTTGCTTAGTACTGAATTACTTGTATTTTGTTTATGAAACATAAATGTAAAATTTCTTTTGTTAATTTACTGCTATGAATGTTCCTCTTTTTCCATTTGGGACTCAAATTTAATTACTTTTAATGGGTTTGTTTCAAATCAGTACAGTCAATGGCAGCGTTGTGCTTTGGTAAAATTTAACGTTTTATTGTAAGAGATCTGCCGATCCAACCGGGAAAGCTAACACACGGACAAGTATGATAACGTTCTTATCAGTTAAACTTATAAATTTGAAAAGGCTAGGAGACAGAAAAAACAACTATGGTTTACTATTTTTTATTCATTTTTACTAGCTACAGTTATAGGTGAGCTTTTGTTTTGTTAAACTATTGACTAAACTATGTTTAATTATATAGTTTATATTCTGATGTTTTGATCAGGATTTTAATCAAATGTAATTGTGTCAACCTATATTTCATGTTTAAGAAGAACAACTACCGAGACAAGAAACTTTAGACTGAAAATCTAGTAATCTTTCCATTTAAATAACCTTTAATAACCACTTGCTTCATTCTAGATGTGTTGACGGTTTCATTTCAGTGAATCAAATGTAATTGTGTCAACCTATATTTCATGTTTAAGAAGAACAACTACTGAGACAAGAAACTTTAGACTGAAAATCTAGTAATCTTTCCATTTAAATAACCTTTAATAAGCACTTGCTTCATTCTAGATGTGTTGACAGTTTCATTTCAGTGAATCAAATGAGCTCATCTTTTGAATCAACTCATAAATTGAATGTTTTCAACTGTTTTGCATAGTTATTAGCAGTGGTCGGCAACCTTTTTTGATCGCGGGTCAATTATTATTATTTTC